GGTGAAGAGAAGAAGGACAAAGCGGCCAGTAAGGCTGCTGTAGCATCGAAGAGCGCAAAGCCGAATCCGGCGGAAGCGTCGCGTCCCGAGGCCCAAGGCGGCTCATTGGACGTGACACTGATCGGTGACGTGCGGGAGCGTGATCGGGATATTTCCGATGATGAGTTTTCCCCTACGAACGTGTGCATGTTTCCAGAATCATGGGAGGGCGCAATGCCGACCTCCGTGATCGACAAGGCCGGAGGCTTTGAACAGTTTAGGAACGAGCTCATGAGGATCCAGAGAGTCCTGGATTCTCCGGCGTTGGTCGACCTTGGTAAGGTCGATCTGGACGCTCTGGGCGAGCCGCCCAAGGAGTACGTCTCGGATGAAGATCACGAGAGTTATGTAGACGATGACGGAATGGGTCCATATGTGGACAAATTCTCAGCAATGGGTGACCGCGACCTAGTGCCCTCAAAGCAGGAGCCGCCTTATTATGAGGCAAAGGCGTGGCGCACCACTGAAGAAGAAATCGAAAGGATGAAGAACCTTTTTCCATACTTTCGTGCCGAAAATTATCGGCTTATGTCCGCGAGTACTGGTCCCATAGGTACCAAGTCGCACGTACAGGGCGTCCTCCCTACAGGTGCGTCGTTGGAAGAGGCACTAATGGCAAAGCCCGATGTGTGCCCGATTTCGAGCAACTACAACCTCACAATCGAGGGTGAGGAGGTTGTGATTGATGCACAGGGCGGGATAGCAGGCAGATTCGCCTGTCCTGCCGGAAGAGATATCTTCCATTTCTTCCCCGAAATTAGGGATGTGTCGGCGTTTGTTGGACGAAGCTCCAGGGAATCGCAAATGCTGCTAGAAGTTTTGTCGGGCAACACTGACCCTACGCGGTTAAACGTGAAGCCCGGTGAGCAGCCTCCCTTCTTGTTTGGGACAGTCCCAGACATTCTGGGAGGTTGGATGTCGATGACTCTGATCTCGACGCTACTTGAGGCCCTATACGGGATCCACAAGTGCACGAGTGTCGAGGTTGCGACCTGGGCGGCTGCTCTCGCAATGGAAAGCCCATCGTACCCTCCAATCGAGCTCCTAATACGGACGGTCTGGAGGACAGATGGCACGAGTGTGCGCCCGACTGAGGTGCTTTTGCGCGGTCCACCCTAATCGGGAGGGACGTGCCGTTCAAAGTTTTCAAGCGTTGGGCACTGCGTGACCGAACGCCTATCGGGCCTTTGTTTAGGCCGATGGGAGCAGCAGAAGTCCCTTATACGGGATACGTGCTGCTGACGATGGCCGAATATCGGTCCGCCCTCAAAACGAGGTGCATCCGAAGGCCTGGCAAATTCGCCATCACAGTTTTCCCCATGCGACCTGAACAGGTCTGCAGGGGGGAGATCATGATTGGGATGGAGGGCGCAAAGGTGCCTCTTCTCAAGTTGCCCAGCCCCAATAATGAGGGCGAATTTTATGTTGACGACCGCGTCAAATACATGGACAAGCGCCATGTCGTCGTGGCCATTGACCTCAAGTGGATGGCCATCGAGGGAGCTGCCGGCATCTATAAAACCCGACGCGGTTTGATTGCCGTGCGGGAAGAGATACATGCACCCTTCTGGCGAGCATGCTATCTGCACCAGGAAGGGGATGTAATATACATCCGTCCCTGGGCGGTTCGTGAGTTGAATGTTCAGGGACCGCCGAGGGGGGTGTCATTTTCATGGGACAATGCTCCCATGCATGACTACTGGTGCCCTCGGTGTGCCCATTTGAACATGTATGGCACCATTCTATGCAATGGTTGCCATTTGCCGATTTTCTATCGCGAATGGGTGCCAGGCACCGTCCGCGCTCTGGTTAAGCATGGACAGCCAATCTGGCTGAGCGAACTCAAAGCAGTCCGCCCCAGCAGCTGGTATGAAGGGGAGACCGACGCGTGGGCCCCTCTCATGGCATCGGTAAACCCGATTCGCGAGGTGGTCAGCTGCATGATCACCGGTTTGCGATGCGCGCCGCATCTTGTGCACAATCCCAATGCGGATGTTGTGCAAGTTGCATTTCAGGAGGTTGCAAAGGTCACCTCCAAGGACACTCACGCTTGTGTGCGGGCGAGTGATGAGGCTCTCGAGCGGTGGGTAGCGAAGCAGCTGCTCATCGAGGAGAGCAACACTGGCGTCTCGATTCCCGACAATATGTCTGTCATGGCATATTTAATCGATCACCCGCAACAGGCGGCGCAATGGGGTCGTCATATGACGAGAAAGGGCAGTCTAAATTCAGCATTTGCCCTTTACCTCTCTGTTCATATTTTTGATGCCTACCGCATCGGGATTGAGGACGGGTATTTGGTTCCGCTGTATGGCCTAGGCGCCTCACGCGCGGACATCATAATGTCTTTGGTACAGGCTGAGCGACGCCTCACGGACTTCAATAAGGAAGATCCGAGTTTCGATGCTTCCGCTGTTCTTGATTGGAATATCGACTCTTTGCGGGCCAGTGGTGGATCCATCACGGCTCCAATTGAGTATGCTGAGGCATACATTTATGTCGAAGACAACAAGGTTGACATGGTCCCCGCTTCGCGGCGCGACGGCCAATGCGCCATTGTTTTTGCTGACCCGCCGGTTGGGAAGCATCACAGGCGGGCAGCCACTCCTAGGGGAGACCAACGGTCTGCTACCCCGCGACCTGAATCCAGGTCGAAGGGTGATCAGCAAAAGGGCAAAGCCCCTGCGCAGTCCTGGCCCAAGGGCGGAGGTCACAAGGGTGACCAATTTCCCGGAAAGGGTCACAAAGGTGATCAGTACAAAGGCAAGGGTGGCCAATACGGCTACCAACACGGGCAGTTCGGTCGTGGCGGATCCGCCAGATCGAGAACTCCCACTGGCGGGTATCAGCCTGATGCTCGCGGGTCGGGGTACAAGGGTGCTCAGGCAGCTCCTTTCCCTTTCCCGAGTCCGACGTACCCCGCTTTCCCAATGGGAGGGTACATGCAACAGCCTATGGCTGGTATGATGCCACAAATGTGGCCAGGCGCAATGCCGCAGAATTGGCAGCCGCATATGCAGGGCGATCCCCGCGAGTTCGAAAATCCGAACTCGCCGCACACCCCTACCTGGGGTGACGATGACGAGCTTGCCGAGACGGTGCCTCCTCCCCCTGAAAAACTGGAATACCAGCAAGGGGAAGGGGCGGCACGGCCGTGGGCGACATCGGTGATACCTGAAGTCTGCCCATGCGTTTATTTTGCACGACTGCGCCAACGCGCGCATGCCTTTATTCCGGAGATCTTTCCGGAAGGGCTATGCTCCTTGCCATATTTCAATGATTTGGCTATTCGCCACTCCAGAATTTAATTGCACGCGTGGCTGTGCGCTATTCGCGCAAGCTGCGATGTCCTGTCAGGTGTGCGTCGTCACAGCAAGGCAGTTTCCCTCGCCGGCGTCTATGGCCGCTGGTGATCAGCTTCATCCAGCACCGCTGCTGCTGCTGGCGATGGAACCCATCAAGATGCTGTGGTGAGGATCTCGGATGCGCTGCACCGCCGCCGGTGAGGTCCTACTCGGACCTGAACCGCTGATTGCAGCTGGTGGTACTCCTGCCGAAGATCGTTGTGTGATCGCGCGCCTAGACGGTGCTACTTTAAAGACCAAGGTCTTGTGGTCGAAGCACCATGTTTCAACCAGTGGGCCAATGCGCCTAAATCATGAATTCAGAAACTAAATCCACTTGAACCTTACGGATCATTGTGGTTGCATTGCAAATATATTTATATTTCATGCCTGCCATTCTGGAGTTGAATCTTTGGTTCTGTTTCCTTTTGCTTCCTCTTGTTTGATTTGGCTACCGGCGCGAATCCGCCCCATACCCGTAATTCGGGGTGGTGGCGGGATCCGGGCACCAATGAGTGCCCGGGTATGGGGTCGCGAACCCTGGTAGCCTAATCGGCTTTGTTTTTCTTGTTTATTTGCTTTTCAACTTCAACATGGCCAATGCGCCCTTCCAAATTCACTCCATCTCTTTGTACAGGCGAGGGGGGTGTTTTTGGGGGCATGTACTTTTATCATAGCATGTTTCATGCCAAAGCCCAACGCGGCTTTTGGCTCAAGCCTTTAATTCCGGCGACTCGACTTGCCATAACCGTCAAAAGCGCCTTCGGCGGCGCCGTGCTGGTGCGTGGGCGGAGGTGCTCACGCCCCAGACCACGGCGGTCGGGTGCTCTTGGGTGTGGGTCAGGTTTGGGTTGGGAATTGCTTCGTCGCTGCTGCTCCGCTTTCGCTTGGTTAATTGCTTTGCTCGCTTGCTTGCTGCGCTTGCCTGGTTGGCTGCGCTGGCCCCCTTTCCTGTTTGGGTTTTGCGGTTAAACAGGATTCCCCGTTTGTTATCTGTGTGGTTCTTTGCCAGCCGAGGGCACCACTTTGCCCTTGGGACTGGGGGGCTTAAACTGTCTCTTCTTGTTGGTGGGTTAGGGCTCTCCCGAAATACTGTTTCAAACCCTTTCGCAGTAGGCTTACGCCAAAAGCCAAGGACGTGAAGGGTTACTTAATGTTAAGACTTGGCCACTTCTTATTTGATTCTGTCGAATCTTGTGTTGGTGCAATGCTGACTTTTCAGCTATGTGGATATATTGAGACATGCTGATTTTTTCCGGAAGCCACGAAGTGACGTGGAATGGTTCTTGGTTCTTGGTTCTTGGGCCTCTGCAATCGAAGGTAGACATCCTTAGGTCAACGCAGGTGCCCATCAGTTCAGGCTTGAGGCGGGTCCAAACAAAACATGTGTGAAGAGATGTGGTTGCTGGTGCATTCCCCACTTGCCAACTTTGCAGGGGCGCTGCAAAGTATTGTTCAGATCCAACAGGCTCAGTACTCATGTCGAACGCCCCAGAGGGTCAGAGGTGCTATTCGAACTTCCGAAAACTACAGAGCCAAAGGTCAAGTGAACTCCGAAAGTGCAACATGCTTGGTTTGTTGGTTTTGAAGGCGCCTGCACTGACGTTTTTCTTTCAGGCCGCAGCCCCAAGCCCTGCAGCTCGCGACCTCAGTCTGAGAAGTGCTCGAACGGGAACCAAACCTACCAAATGGGTGATTTCTCCTTGGCTTTCCCAAGCGACCCAAAATGGGTACCCTCAAAGATACACACCTGGTTCTGACTTACTGCAGGATTCAAAAAGGGGTTGGCTTTTCATGCTACCAGCGCTTGTTTCGTCGTTGCCGGGATTCTTCTTGGATCCTTTCCTCGGTCCTAGGCTTTCAATGGCATCGCAGTGTGTTTGAGACACGTGGTTTTGAGCCAGGGCGAGATGCTTTTGTAGTTCTAGAGACGTGCGTGTGTGTGTGTGTGGGTCTTGCGGGTAAGAATGGTCAAGGGTGCCATTTGGGAATTTAGACAACCATGGCAAAGGTTCCTAAGGGTCCTATTGAGGGAGCCACGACCATGCGCCGTACAGAAGGAGTTTGACCATGGTTCATGTGAATTCACGTTTCTCTCTTAAATGCGGTTCGCACGGGGCCAGTCAGAGCTGAGAGGACTGATCAGCTTGCAATTATGGCCTTTACCTCCACGCACACTCCACTCACACACACACACACGCACGCGCGCGGGCACGCGTATGCGCGACAGCATGCGTGTGCACGCACACGCAGACACAGACGCAGACCCAAGCGCACACTCACCAATCACCAATCGACTGGATAAGTTCAGCTTTTGTTTGTTTCACGACTTGCCCTCACTTTTGTACAGCGTTCTCCAGGGTAGTTCTTTGATTCTTGGCCATGGGTGGTCACCGTCCACAAAAGCAACATTCAAGCAACTCAAGAAGCAACCATTAGTTCGTGGTCGGTTTCTGAGCTGCTTAAGACGCCTGAGAACTTTTGGGACGTTCCTTTTCGAGATGGGTGGTTGTTCTGGTGGACACTTTTTGGGACATTCGAAGCGGTGTCCACGAAAAGCCCCTCATTGTCACAACCACTCATATGAGGCTGCACGCAGTTGGACTGCCCACGTGTGTTGTCCTTGGAGCTCAAAGCTCTCACTTGAGTCTCGTCCGAGGCTGGACAGGATAGATGACAAGCGCCGGGCCAGCAAGGACCGTGGCTCGAGACACAGGGCCAGCTTTCAAAGGCAGGCATGCCCGCAAACCAACCTGGTCATTTAGTTTGTGAAACAGGGGACAGTACATCACCAAAATCCATGGCACTTTGCAGCCCTGTGCAAAGCGCATCTTTGCGGGAAGCGTGTGCTTTTCTTGCCGAGAACAAGTGAAAGTAGGGTCTATGCAGCCAAACACCAAACAGTCCACATGGGAGACAAGAAAAGCGGGCCGACATGGAGTTAAGGCAGGCCAAGAAAGGAGTGACAATGTCCATTGCAGAAGCAAATCTGTGGGCCATTTTGCTCATACCTCGCTACACCATGACCCAGCCTGCAATGTTTACACCGTTTTCACTGTCCACACCGTTCATGCTACCTACACGATTACATATTTTACAACACCAAACATGCTAATAGCGCAGCAGCGTCAACAGCGCAAGCCGATGAAACGGCGCAGGCAGCGTCAGCAGCGTAAGCAGTTAGGCGGCACAAGCAGCCGAAATAGAGCAGAAAGCGTAAATAGCGCAGGCAGCGCAAAGAGTGCAGGCAGCGCAGCGAGGCTGGTTGGCAGCGTGAAACCGTACGAGCGCGGGATATCTGGCTGAGTGACTGGCAGCAGAACAGCGGAACAGAGTAGCAGCAGAACAGCGCGATTGCGTGACACAGCTTGCGCAAACCCTCCACAATTCAATTAAGGATATCGCGGAAGGAAGAAGAAAGATTCACGTAGCTGCTCAAAGTAAGACAACGCAGTGACAAATAAATCAAAGAAATAGAAAAAGAAAGACGCAAGGAAATAAAGAAAGGAAGGAAGGAAGGAAGGAAGGAAGGAATCAAGGCGGGAAGAAGGGAAGGAGGGAAAGAGGGAAGGAGGGAAGGAAGGAAGGCAGGAAGAAAAGAAAGGAAAGGAAGGACATAAAGACAGACATCAATGAAGGAAAGAAAAGAAGGAAACAAAGGACATACACGAACAAATCGATAGATTAAATACACAAACAAATAGATAAAGACAAAAAGCAAGTGTACAAATAAATCAGTAAACAAACAAATAAAGACAGAGAAAGAAAGAAAACACTTCAATCCTGGTTTAAGTGTTGAATGACCAAGACGAAGGCAACTGGGTAAACCAAAAACGGCCAAATGGATACGTCCGGAGGACGCCCTACTGCTCTCCCTCTCGGAAGAGTTGCCTCAGCCCCTGGCCGTGGGCCACGTGCTCAGCGTACCCGAAGGGTGCCTCAAACAAGACGTACCCGTTGACTGACTATCACAGAAGAACCATCTTAGAACCTATTGATTTTCTTCAATCGCGTTGTTAGCTATGAGAGCCTTCTTGGCCGGTACTCGCATGTTCGATTGGTGACCCATTGCTATTCACTCCAGCCACCAAAATGTGTCAAAACGAAGGCAAAACACGAAGTATGCTGAAACAACTCACGGTGGCGCCATTCTCCGTTTGCGGCAGAGGTTTCCTGGTTGCCCTTCAAAAGCCATTTGAGAGAGCCCAACCACCTCAGTCAACGCAAATATTCAGTGACCTACGGAGGGGGCCGGTAGAAGCTTTGCAGTTTATGTGTCAAACAGCGCGTCCTTGGTTGATCTATCGCTCCGGATGCCTCTTGGTTGTGCTCATCTTGCAGGGCAAAGAGCGAGGGCACATCCTGGGCGCTAGAGAGGGGATTAGTCGAGTTCCCCACGCGCAACTGAAAGCGAGTTCGGTCAGCGCCAGTTGATGTCTCCAACAGGAGACAGGCAGGGACACGTGCCATCCTTGAAGCATTTAAAAGGACATGGGGTCCAGTGTGTGTTCTTATAACCAACCGACTGGATACCCTCACCTGCGTTCCAATTGTGGCACTCAAATTGGGCCGTCTTTAGGTAGGTTTCCACGCATGAAATCCAACGCCGGCGAAGCATAGAGCCGCCGACCACGGCCCCACAGCCCTGAAAGAGTTTGTCTCAAGCGATGGTGCCAAGAAGTCTACCAGTATGTCCAAAATATTGCGATGGCCCAGAACAAAGCTTTATTCAACGAAGGGAGTAGATGACTCGTCAAAGTTCTATGCCTCTTGGCATGGTTGTTTCTTGTGCCCCTTTGTGCAGAAATGGCCAAGTGAAGATAGACATTGTCTCCGAGGTTCATGCTGTATCTCAAAATCAGTAGGACCTTTCCGATCGACTTTTGGTGGCTTGAACACATTCCACACTGAGCTTCTGAGGCCGACAAGGCCGAGGTGCTTGGGATGGAATAGTGCGATTGGGAGGATGGGGTAGTTCTATGCTTGTGTCTTCTTGGTCGACTCGCTTGGTGTTGGATTGAGCGTTTCGCTACTGGGTCAGTCAATGTAGGACGGCTCAGAATGAGTCCTTCGGATGCAAAAGGACTGGCCCTTTTCTCACGGCTTAGAGAGGTGTCCACCGTGTTGCTGGCTGCATGCACATGTTGAATCCGAGCCACTCCGTTGCTCACTCTTTTGCTTGCAGGTTCAGTCTCAGAGTGTTGACTCCAGCATTTTCTGTCAAAGAATATCGAAGGCGAGAGGCTGCCGAGCCTTTGAAAGTGATGCGCGCCCTGTTGCTGTTCTGCAGGCTTACTGCTCTGCACAAAGAAAGAGGGCGTCTAACGGTGGCCTTTTGTATGTCCCTGTTGCACAGCGCTCACTTGTACCAATATACCTTGTTGCTAAGTCATGCCTTTTCGCCAGATTCACCGTGGCTTTGGCTGGGATGGGGACTTTTGGTGCAGCCAGATCTTGGAGAGTGCCGTCAACAAAAGTGGCACTCCATTTTGAAACGCGGTGCCGCGAGGTAAAGGGCAGCAGGCGGACCGGGGACGAAAAAGCCGGTTGCGCGCGGGTAAGTGGGGCGGGCTCATCCATGCGTTTTGACCATGGCATTAGCTTGAGCAGTCGGCTTGGCGTGCAACTCTAGAGTTGAACTTTGGGCTTTTGGAACAATGTCACGCATCCACATTGGTCATTTGACACGGTCACCAAGTCCCCTTAGCACATGGAGACAAGGCTGGTGAGAGCTGGCGAGTATCTGAAGTTTTTTGTTTTTGTGTGTGTGTGTGTGCGCGCATCTACTTGCCATTCTCTAGATCCGGAGGTTTGGTATGCAGCACGAAGGAGCTTGCTTAATGATTCCTTTGGCACGGTTCATCCCACAAGAAGCCTTGTGACACCAGCCATGCTTACACCTGCGATAATAAGTGGGGCACCGGGGCACCCTTTGTCTCCTCAGTCATGTGGAATGACTCCTGCAAGATCTGGTGTGCGTATGGTGCTAGAGCTGGCCTTTTGGTCGTGAGAGGGTTTCCGCGGGCATACCCGCAATTTGGAGGCACCCAAACTGCATGCCACAAGACTCAGCTGAGCTCAGCCTGGAGCTAGGCATCGATGATTGTTTCTCCTGAGCCATGCCATGCCAAGTAGAAGTTGCCATGACATGCCAAGTAGAAGTTTTTGTTGGCTTTGCCCGGCGCGCTTGATCCCTGCGCCAGTCGAGCGAGTCCAAGAGCGGCCACGCTTTGTCAAGGAGAAGCTGATGGCTGGTTGCTTGGGATGCGGTTGCCAAGGTGTGCTGTGGCCAAGAGATTCATGTGCCAACATCTAACAAAGAATCACAGCGGCAAGATATTGATTGTTGCCCACGACAAACTATATGGTTGGCAAGATGCTCAGTATCAAACGAGTCGCGTTTTTTCCCCCGGTTTACCGGGATCTGTGGCTGGGGGCCCGATGGGAGAGCCGGTCGGACAATGAATTCTCGCGCCATGGCTAGCTTCGAAGGCCTTGTGAGCTGTGCCTGGTCCAGGCCAGTTGCCGAAGGTGGCGAAGTACTTGATACAAGGCCAATCCAGCCAATCCGATTGAATTGAGCAAAGCGAGCATCCAAAGAGAAGTTAAATCGTGAATGAACCTGCGCCTTTTTGCAAGCCTTGCAAAGGGAATCACAGCTCTACAGCTCTAGTTCCTCTACCTCTGGGCGTGAGTCGCTAGCTAGAAGCTCTTGGCAGCCACTTTTATGGCCCATTCTGAGCTTCTATGAAAATGAGGGAGCTGTTTTGAGTAGGTGTCAGTGATTCAAAAAGGACAGGCGCCGAAAGGAAACCAGAGAAATCATAGGCACAGGACACCACAAGCTGAAAGAAGCCCAAAGAGTACCCAAGAGCTAGACACACCCCACCCGCTTGACGCCAATTCTTTCCGAGTTCCAGGACTGGCACACCCTCCAGCTTGAGTGATGTTTGGGGCGATCCTCGAGGCAGAATTAGGGGGGGAGAGGGGGGCGGATGAATGCGGCATCCTTTTCCCGTTTTGTTTGGAGGGCTCCCTCTTGAAAAAGGAGAAGCTAACGCGGGGGGGGCTCCTGGGGACATGGGTTTCTTGTTGAATGGTCAATCCCGAAGTGGTTGCGATTGTTTCCCCATGCGGTAACTGGGATAACTATTGTGGCTGAGCTTGCCGTATTTCTGTGTTCGCTGCTGGTTTGGGATCTAGCATTTTTGGTTGACTGACACATGACATTTGAGACACACGGAAAACCCGGGCAATTGGAGGGTAGTAGGGGACAGTCGCAACCAGAAACAGACATGGGAGCGGCCACCTTTTGATTCTTTACATCGTTTTGCGTAGACCCTTCTAGTGCCAGGTTTGATTGTGACTCATGTGTGTTTCCCAGTGGTGCCTTCTGTTTTGGGATGATCCCCGACCAACTTGGATGCATCAACAGAGCATCTGCTCAATCCACTGTTTTCATTGCAGACCTGCGCGCGGCATCTTCATTCTACCCGAAACTCGTATTGCCAAGCAGTCAGAAAGCAAAGAAGGGATCAGCCGCAGTCCAATCCCTGCAGGACGCCTCAGCGTCCACAAGCCGGCAAGCTGTTCCAGTCGCAGTTCAGTTCGTTCTTTGATTTCAAGTTGCGCTTCAGCTAACTTACCGAAAATCGGACTTCGTCGAGCGCCAGGCGAACCGTGCGGTCTGCCTTTGCAGATGCTGCCAACGCGCACAATGGAAACAATGGGTCCGGGGCCTGGAGGGGCAGCCAGCCAAATTTACTCCGGGCCAAGCTGGAGCCTGAGAAGTCACATGCTGGTATGGGTTGAGTTTCTCTGTTTCTCTTTCTTTTCTTTCTTTCTTTGTTTCTTTCCTTCCTTCCTTCCTTCCTTCCTTCTTTTCTTTTCTTTTCTTTTCTTTTCTTTTCTTTTCGTTTCGTTTCTTTTCTCTTCTTTGCTTTGTTTCTTTCTTTCTTTCTTTCTTTTTCTCGTTCTGTTCTCTCTCTTTTTCTCTATCAGTTTTCCCTCTCTCTCTCTCTCTCTCTCGTTCTCTTCCTCCCCTTTTTGTTTTTCTAGCTCTCCCTCTCTCTCTCTCTCTATCTCTCTGTCTCTCTCGTTCTCTTTGCTCTCTCTCTCTCTCTCTCTCTCTCTCTCTCTCTTGCCTCGCTTTTCTCCCGAAATGAAGAATGGTCGCCCCGCAAGTTCGAACCCTGGCTCTCAAATCGCAGAGGTCGAACAGGAGCCAGCGCACTCCCAGCTCTTTTGACGCTCAGATTTCGCGGATTTCGATCGCTGAGGATCCACAGATCTTCCCGTAGATCACGAACAAGGACATGGTTTGGTTCTGACGGCTGAAGATTCTTGCGGCTCCAATGAACTTTGATTATCTGACATGTCGGACTTGTTAGATGGCTGCGATTTTGAAATTCTGAGCCGCATTGCTTTGCGGGTAACCATGACGGCTTCAAGTGCAGGACCCGAACTCTCTGTTTCCTGCAATACCTCAACATCCAGCATACATGTAAAGCTCAGCCATTGTCAAAATATGTTTTGGAAAGAACCGAATCACATCCCCCCAGACCAGGACTTTGAAGTACCATGTGAAGTAAGAGCGGAGCGATGGGAACAAGAACGTGGAGAATGAAAGATTCGGCCGGTTCCCAACTTGTCATGTTTCAGGCTTCAATACCAGTAGTGATCCATGCTGGAAGGGTTACCGTTCCAGCGAACATCCGTCGGTGCTGCAACCTCGCATACTCTATCCCTTGGGTTGTCAACGGACTTGAGGCTCAGAAAGTCGTTGGCTTGTCGGCCGCCTAATCGCAGGACACGGCTACCCTTTTGAGCCTGGCCTGATGAAGCGTCAGTTTATGGAGGCGCTTGGCATGGGGCCTGAGCTGAGGTTTTACGGAACATGAGTTCACAACTGCTCTGAGGAAGGCACAAGCAATTGACAATATGCGTGGACTATTTTTGGTTTGGGGAGGACATGGGCCACTCAAAGTTTCCCACACATTTTCCCATGCCTTCTTGGGTAAGCAAGGTACTTTTTGCCTGTCATCTGCGGGGCCTATTTCTCCCGTGTCACAACGTGGCATTCATGTCCGCCATGTGTGAAGTTCATCCCCCGGTACCGCCCGTTATTCGGTGTGTCATTCACAGGGGGGGGCCATCCGAAGCCGGAAGTCCACGGATTCGCCATGTGGAATAGGTGGTTCATGGGAACCTGGAAACTGTAGTGACCGAGAGCCTTCCAAATGCTTGGTTTTCGTTTCTGGTGTCCTAAGACTATTAAGACTATCCACCTATGCGACATGCTCAAACCCATGGCCATGGGTCAAAATCCAAATCGTACCCCCAGTGAACATCCCAATCCCCACAAAAATTGGTTCTAAAATGAGTGGTGCACCTACCCCAAAATGGTACCAAAACGGTGTTGACAACCACAGCCTCCATTGTTTTCAGGCTCTTAATGCCGCCGGCAGGCGGGCAAGGAGGGAACTCCACCGTTTCAGTGCAACACTCCGGGCGGAAGCGGCGGCCTCAGCGGTTCTCGCCGACTGGGAATGGAGGAGGCTGAGTGGAACACAGTCTTATGTGGTTTAAGGGGGGGGTTCCTGTGTGTTTCCCATTTGGTGAAGACGTTTTTGCGTGTGTGTGTGTGTGTGTGTGTGTGTGTGTGTGTGTGTGTGTGTGTGTGTGTGTGTGTGTGTGTGTGTGTGTGTGTGTGTGTGTGTGTGTGTGTGTGTGTGTGTGTGTGTGTGTGTGTGTGTGTGTGTTTTTTTGTATTCATAGGCTTAACCACCATGAGAATGCGAAGGAAAACCATCTCAGAATAGAGGCTCGGTGTGCAAGGGGGCCTTTACTTCCCAGAGGGAGCCCAAGACAAATCATATCCGACAGATGTGTGTGGTCAGTTGGGGGGGGGGGGTAGAAAAGTGACGGTCGTCTCTTTGTTGACAGGTTTCACCTTATGCGCAAGACCCGCGATGTTTTTTGGAGGCATTCATGATGCATGAAACGATCCCCTTTCTTTTGGGCAAAGGCAGCTACGTGCTTGCACCATCCGAACAAAAGTCTGCTCACCAGCGACTTAGATACAGCTTGGTACTGGGTGCCAGGTGTTCACGTAGCAGGAAGGTTCAGGTGTTGACGATGCCATCAGTGAGGAAACTGGTGCGGGGTGGGTGAGTTGAAGCTGGTGGGGCGTCTGTGATCGGAGTGGTCTAGGCCTCTAGAACGACTCTGGGGGTGTGAGTGAAGGGCCTTCCTTGGTTTTTGAAGTGGGTACTTTGCATGCCATAAGCTTTCCGGGTTTGAACGATTGATGTGAAGTTGTAGCACAGGTTGGTCTAGAACGGCAGCCGAGGAACCCGGATTTCATCTGGACTAAACCTCAAAGGCACACGCACACGCACCGCTCGCAGCAGGAGACACTCGCTTTTGAATCAACCAGCGTTGTAGTAGACCTGCGCTCACATTTTCTTTCGCTTGAGTCGTGGCTTAAAGGTGGTGTTGTGGTGGAGAAACATCAAGTGGCTGCCATGTGCAAACCTGGTAATGTTGAGGCCTTCTCATTCATGGGACGGGAATTCGGAGGAAACATTCGACCAACAAGATATTTAGAGCCCTCACACAAGCAACGGTGCGGTCGTTGGAAGCTGCCAGCATGTTGCGCTTGTTAGTGGGCCCCGGGTGGAGCAGGTGAATCTTATCCGAGGTCCTCTCACAACGGGCATCGTTATTTCGAGGCCGGGTTTGCTGGTTCCAGCGCTCAAGCGGGGGCCAGGCTTGCGAATTTTCGAGGCCCTGTGATGTTAGCCTTTTTCTTCGGCAGGAAGCCACACGGAAAGCAAGGTTGCCGTGCCATTGGTGAAGCGGGGAATTTGCAAGCAATCACATTTGCTCTGCCCGTTCTCTTTCTCCATTGTTCACTTGTCCTCTTCGGACACACAGCCAACACGGGGGGGGAGGGCTGACTTGCCCCCACTTAGTGCAGCGCATTGGTGAATGTGTTGGCGAGTTGCTCATGCAAATCTGCATCCTGCTTCCTGGTCCCTCACCCCAAAGGTGAAGATTTCCCTTCATGCCCGGGCCATCGTTGTTTCACGATTTCTCTCATGCCTGATGTGGCATTTGGCCGGCAAGAGGCGTCTTTGTGGTTGTGCGATCCTTTCAAGATGCGCCAGAAACAGCAGTTTGGCTGTGCTGGACTGACTCTCGTGCATCCTTTGGAGTCAGATCTCAGGCAGACCAATGGGGGGAAGGACATGACAGCTCAGATTCTTTCCTTGCATGAGCCGCAAAGCTACGGAACGGTTGGTGAAGCTGAGACTTGGATCTCGCCTGAGCGCGCCTCGCGAGGTTCTTTGAGGCAGCTAGCAAGGAGCCGTCCGGGAGCCAAGAAGCAAAAAAGCGAAATGCCGAGCCGTGAATCCCTGGCTTTTGGGTCGCATCGCAAGGCTTGCTAGCTGACAGCTGCGAAAGCGGCTTCGAGGTGATGTTTCGATTTTGCCTCAGGCTTTTGGATTCCCACTCTGGACGAATTGCCGGGTTCCCTTGTTGGAAAGGCCCCCCAACATGGCCGGATACACATTGAGACACATGGGAACTGCTGAGGGTACATCAATGATGCCCGGCGGTTCAATCGGCTCTGTCGGGCTACCTACAGAGCCGAGCGGGTGGAAGCAGCACCCCCTCCTGCCTCAACCGACAGCTTCGGCCTGCCGACTAAGTCACCATTCCCGCGCCGCCCAACATCCAGTCCACTTCCGCTTGCAGCAGCAGCTGCACGCAAAGGCTTGCGTTCAGGTCTTGATGTGCGAAGCCCTTGGCTTGCACATTGGCGCTCTTCCGGCTTGCGGTGCGTCGCTGCCTTCGCCAACCTGTTGCTGTTGCGGACATCCCCTGTCTGCTCTGCGATGGTGTCATGGACAGGTCCGGGGAGCATGTGCGGGGCTGCCCTTGTGGCAGCGACCGGGTGAAGCCGCAACGGCTTCGCAGCCCCCACACAGTCCTTGTCCACTGAAGGGCTGGCCTGGTTGCAGAGGTCGGTGGCACGCTCTGGCAGCCATCATGCGGCTGCAGTGCCAAGAGCCGGCAAGCGCTGGCGGCGCTCCAGCGTGAGAACACCCGCACTGTTCTCTGACGCCTGGGCTCCCGACCCTCTGCCTCCCGCTGCCAGCGACGCACTGAGCCCTTCGGGCACGTTGGAAGGACGCCCCTTGCTTCTTTTGCCCCGGTCCGGTCCTTCAGCGATCAGTCCACTGTGCGCTTTGGTACTTGCTCGCTGCTTCAGCCGAGGGCTCAGGGGTCCGCTTCGTGGAGCCAGACATGGCCGTAAGGCCAGTGATCTAGGAGCCACCTTGTGAGCGCCCATGTGGGAGCTGACAAATTCAGCTTGTAGTGCGTCCATGATGGCAGGCGAGCCGTTTGGAGCCTTCGCTCCCTTGCTCTCTACGTGATCCGAGAAGGCGTTTTCCGTTTTCCACCCGCTTGGAGCCGTACATCAGGCGCATCCGTGATATTCCCCGTCCGGACATGTGCTGGGGTTTTTTAATCGCACGTGCTCTAGACAGAGATACTTTTGACATGGTTGCTTTTCAGTTGTGCAAGACACCTAGCTGTTTTGAAGTTACTGCAGCTATTCACATTCACCGCTGATTCTGAGGCCCCCCAGCGCCGCGACACAGTGGCCGCAAGCTACTGGTCAGACGTACAGGCGAGGCACTCAGGCTTGATGTGGCAGATCAAGAGGTTGGCGGGGGTTGTGGAGGCGCAGCATTGTTGGCTGGACAGATTGCTGGATAGATTGAACTTTGGATGTGTTGATCAGAGTGCGTGGCTTTTCAGGGCTTGCGTGATGTGTTGGTTTGCATGAAGGGCGCGTCTTGCAAGCAGAGGGGATTGTGGGGAGATAGGAAGATGGGTTTCAGGGAGGGCATCTGGGGATGGTGAAAGCTGAGAAACTACAAACCGCGCCCAACACACCAGTTGAGCGCGATGTTTGGAGGATTGCAGCCCAGCTTGGCAACATTGCCCACCCCGCAAAAGTGGGAATTCAACATAAAAACACGCTCCAGCTGCAGTCCCCGATGTATGTCCTGGGTTTTCAGGGCGTCTTTATTCCATGACTAAAGCCACAAAGGCTCCCGGGTTACTCTCTTAGTACAGTATAGTGCTGTTGATTGGGGATGGTTTGAAGCCAACCTTCTTTTGTGCCGTTTATAGATAGTAGCGTTTTTGTGCCAGCCTTGAGCATGTTTTCTTGGCTGCCCATTCTTTTTTTTTAGAGGACTATCTCTTCCATCCGGGACAAAGACAAACCTTGCCATGGATGGTGATTTGTTTCATGGTGGCTCACCTAGCAGGCACTTCCTGCCGTTGGGCAGGAGTTTTCACGGGTGTGTGACCATGCCCTTGTCTCAGGACTTGGTCATGCCCTCGAACGGTTGCAAGTTTGGCAAAGGCTTCTCAAGGGATGGCCCACCACCTTGGAACCGCATCGGCGCAGCACCAGTCCCCACATCAGATCCCTCCCATCGGCGACGAGTGTTTGTCTTTTCGCCGAGGAACATCCTGGCAGAGAGCCAACTCGCGGCCAACACGGTTCCAGGCCAGGCTGAGAAAGGCCACTGACAGCAGCTGCAACGGAGGGCGCAATGCCATGAACATCCCCAGAGCTGGAGGTAAGAGTATCCAGAGCTGGAGGTAAGAGTATCCCACGGAACAGCCACGCAGGTTTCTGTGCTTGGACGCAGTGGTTCTCCTTGTTGGCAGGACAAAGACCCAGTTGTGCCTGAGGTTTTGTCAGGCACTTGGTTTGGCCATATTTGGGTTCACGTTTACCACCTTGGGTTCACGTTTGACCTGGCAGAAGCTGAACCGAAGGTGTCAGGGTCGCAAATTGACAGTTGCCTGTGACATGAAGTGAACAAGTCTCCTTGAGGAGGGTGGAGGGGGGGGCAACCCCGACATGGGCTCTGATGGACTTTAGGTATTAGATGCTAGGATGGTTGGGTGCATCCCATGGGCTTCCAACACGAGGCCACAAGGGAATTCCATGTGATGCATGTCCGAGTCATCAAACATATGCCCTACTCCTGCACTCTTGATGTTTGCAGTATATAGTCACCGAGTTCTCCATCTCCGACACATTACTGGGGTGAATATTTTTTGGTGTCGCCCCCACCCGGCCCCACCGCACGGGGTTGTCCTCAGTTTAAGTTTGACTGGGTTCACTCTTGCATATGGAAGGCAATTTTCTTGCACCCCACTGATGGGTTGGTGCACATGAATCCCAGTGTACCGGATGTCCACCAACCTCCCCCCCCTTCCCCAGTTTTCTTTCTCCCTGCAAGATGGCATCGCTGGGCCGAGCCCTGAATCCCCCTAGCGCAGGCATGGTAAATCAGATGCCCATGACTCCGCAGGCGGGGAAGGGAAAGCACCAGCCCGTGGTAGTTCCGCGAGAAGAAAAAGAGAGCGACTTTTTACAGGTTTGTCTGACAGGAACCTCGAAACTCAGGCCTCTGAAGGAGAAATCCAGAGAAGGGTCCCCTGCGGCGGGACGATGGTGGAAGATACTTGGGCGTGATCAACACACGATCGTGTCATGGTGAACTTTAGCGGGACCATGTTGCTGAGACCGAATGTATTTAATAGTTTGTTCCGTGATTCGCAGGGCACACGATGAGACAATCTTCATGTTTGGTATGTTGCTACGTGAGTAACCACTGTCCATTCTGAGGTCAAAGAGGGGCCAAAGGGAACCTCGCAGGATTCCAAAAGGGAGCCTAAAAGGGAGGCCAAAGGGACTGCGCCCATGTTTTGTTCTGGTTCCTTGTCGCATATTTTCCTTCAGCCGCTTAGGCCTGCCATTATCCGGTGGTAGATGACTCCAAGGGACCAGTAACCTGCGGTACAACATGACACGCAAACCCACCCATCCA